AGTAGTTGGATTTGCGGCTAGACTTATTATTGTGTCCCTTTGCTTTGCAGAAAATAGCCAAAAGATGGGAGCTCTAAAATCATTAGTTGAGTATTTCAAGAAGGTTTGGGACAAAATGATCAAGCTAGAGAAATATACAAAGCCAAAGGTCACACATACTATATAATAATATGTTCATACGAATAGGAGCGTGTCGACATGAGAATTGCTTTTGGAGACATAAGCTTGTGGCGAATCAGTTTTATTCCGATGGGTAGGGTTTTTTAGTCACGTTTCTCAACCCTAATTCGGCCGTCGATCTACTTAGGTTTAAACTTTTACTTTAATCATCATTTTTAATGTTTCATTATTATATCATTCTTATAATTTGTTCTGAGAGTGAAAGTCGTCGTGCTAATCTTGCATTATAAATTTATGATATAGAGGATTGGCTGCCTTAATTTTCTGTTAAAAGAGAGTAGCATATGCTTTGCTTTGCTGCTTCATAAACAATACTTAATCTAGCCCGCCTTCGTTATCAAAACGTTTGACGTCTTTTGAAATATTCTCTTACCAAATAGTTTAAGAAAATAGAAACTAGAAACTATGTTTTCGAACTATTCTACTTTTTGCTGGAAGAGTTTGATATTCGCTGTCCTAATTGAATTTGTTTAATTTTCAGACCAAAAAAAAAAATTTGAATTTGTTTAAGGAAAAGGGTAGGTACGTACCTTTCATTAATAAGGTGCTAATTATAGGAGATTAATTTGATTAAACAGGAATCAATTGACGGAGAAGAGAATAATAACATGAAGAAGAATGACGAAAGTGATCTGATTCCGATACGCTATTGGTCTGCAGCGCATGGCATATCACTTCATTCTCTCTCTAAAATCACTCCTCTCTCTCTCTCTCTCTCTCTCTCTCTTGTGCGCTGTTGTACTGATGATATGACTACAGTGTGTGTGTGTGTGGGTAGGAGTAATCGTACGTAGTGGGCGACTTTTTTTTTCTTTTCTGAATTATCATATCATATATGCTTATAAGTATTTTATTCTTCTGCCTTATTGACCACCTAAACCAAATATTCAATTCATACCTAGACTACCTTTGTTACGCGTGGACAACACCAGGCTCACTCCTATTAGGTCATGTTTAGCGACTAGGATTATATTGGATTAAGGTATAGGATTGCATCGTATTGAATTGCGTATTGACACTAGTGTCTGAGGTTTGTGTTGCCGCTCTTGAATCTTGGGCTCAAAGTCAAAGGGGTTGGATTAGTGGTATTATGTATCCCACACCTTTTTGGTAGGATAACTTATTCTTTAAAAAATGCACATAATAGGGTTATGGTGGGATTTGAATAAGCTAATCCAATCTTAATACTTGTGCTACCCACCAAATGATGCCTTAGGGTTTAGCATACCCCAATAATTCGTGATATTTGTTGACTGAGATTGGATTGGATTATGAGGTAGAATTAGATTGCATTTGATTGGAAATGATAACACTAATCCGATGATGTATTTGTTACTACACATGATTAAGGGGTTGGATGAATTGAAATGTGTTGTTACATGGCTTAGTATAATTAAATCCAACTTAATCCCAATCTTTTGGTAGGATTCATAATCCTACTGCATTCGGCTATAGTAGGATTAGACATAATCCAATCCATGTTGTTTTTAGGACACCAAATATTTGACTAGGATTATGAATCCTATCCAATTACATAATCTAAATGACCAAATGTGTGTTATGTCATATTTGTGTTCATGTCAAGTAGTGTTTAAGATGAACATGTTAATTCGAGTCATTAATTATCACGTCACAAAATTGCTACTCCTAATTGTAGAATACCCAATCATTTTCTTCTACAACTTTAACTATTACTCTTGATGAATCATTGATCGTCGATCTCATTTCGTACACACCATTCATTGACATTACAAAACAAGAAAAACTCAATATAAAAAAGGTCAAATTTCGTACACACCATTTATTGGTGGTATTGTATGATCCATTGGTATTTTATTTAGAGCAAGTGCAGCGCACCACCCAAACCCTGGCAACAGGTCCTCCTAGGCCCAGTTTCGAACTCCATAGCGCAAAATGAAGTTCGGGCTAGCCCAAGCAAGCCCAAGGGCAATTTTGGACTGGGCTCTTGCCGAGTTTACTAATGTCAGTTGACAAAAATCATAATTTAAAAAAAAATTGATTTTTGCTTGCTGACATCAGTGTGATGTCACTGCTTACGCCAGCACTGACAAGCCCCAACGAGAAGACGCCACATGGCGCTCCCTGGAAGCTCTTATCGATTTTTGTCCAGAAATCCTATGGCCTTGATTTTTTTTGGCTAAAAAATTTGAAAAAAAATTTGAAAACAAAAAAATATGAATTTTTTCCCTTATAAATATCTAACAATTTTATTCACTTTCCACACCAAAATTTGTACTACAAAATTCCATTTGTGCAAAAATACAAATGACCTCTTCCATCGAAGCCGGAGGGTCGTGGACAAACGTTCGAAGAGATCAAAATCTTGGTGACAAGGTAATAATTTTTTTTTTGCCCATTTTATTCAATTTAATGTCATTTAAAAATAAATTATTTATTGCATTTCCAATTTCATTGTTTACAAGCCGGAGGGTCGTGGACAAACAATGCCCGCAGTCGGTTCTAGTGGTGCGTTTCATGTCGGAAATATTATGTTCTCTGAAGGAAAAATACTCCCCCACGTCGTGATCCAGTGGAACCGCCTCTGCCAATGATTGAGTCATTCTTGTACTCCATTGTGTCGGATTATGAGGACTATGAGTATTTCAATTGTATGATGAGTAAGTAGGTATTTCAATTGTATGATGAGTGAGATGTGAATTTTATAATAAATATGGACATGTGGCAACCGAAAATCTTATCTGAAAATGTAATTTGAAAATTTTATCTAAAAATGTTATCTGAATTTTTTGGTGATAATTTTATAATAAATATTAACACGTGGCAACCGAAATCTTATCCCAAAAGTTTTTGAAAATTAATGGTTTAAGTATAAAAAAATAGAAAATAAATTAAAATGAATACTGTTTGCCCTTGCCCTTTGGGGCAGGGGCGGAGCCACACTGGGACCAGTGTGGTCCCGGGCCCTCACTCAACTTTTTTTATATTTTAAAAGTAATATAATGTTATGTATTTATATATGTATATTATTTCAAATACTTTATGTTTTGATATGTACCAACATGTATTGTGGCAGACTTATTAAGGCACAAGGAGGTAGTTCAAATTACGCCCTTACTCAGCTAGTGGTGATGCACTCCAGGTGTACAAATTACCTTATTTCCATTTTGAACATTTAAGTAAATGTCTTTGTCCTTTGTCCTTTGACTTTAATTTATTTTTATATTACTCCATTTACTTAAGTTTACAATGTAAATAAGGAAGTACCCCCTATTTAAATTCAAATAAAAATACTAGAAAATCAAATCTCACCAAGTCAAAATATGAAAAATCGGTTTTAGTGTAAAATACGATTTAGGCTAAAAATGATGGCTCATTAAGTTAATATATACTTCATACTAAAATCCCATAAAATCAAGTTTTCTTATTTCATGTGTAAGGAATAAAAGCAGCCAAAAATTATTTTGAGAAAATAATTATTCAAAAAAACCATTTTTCATACTTAGTCAATATTTTTTCATGTATGATATGAATGCATAAATGGGCCTAAGGTTGTTTTTAATTTGGGAAATTTTGATTTTTTTTTTCCTTTCTATTGGATTTAATGGGGGAAAAGTTTTAAAGATATTTGCTAAATCGCTACTATTTGTCTATCTCTTGCAATTTTTCTTGCTTAGAATGTATTTGTCTATTCCTTTGTCGAGAACAATTATGATTGCAACCAATAAGCGATATAATTCTTGACATATGTGATATATATACACTATTTTTTGTATGTATTATGAGTTTGAATTTTTGATTCTTTATATTTTGTAAGAGGCCCCCACACACATGAAATCCTGACTTCGCCACTTCTTTGGGGTGGAATAAAAAAAGGCAAAATTGCTACTATTCACGTGAATAATATCAAATCTTACCTTACTTTTGTCTTACCCTTATCTTTTGGGGTGAAAGTGCTCTTACTGGTGCAATGCAAGGCAAGATATATATATATATATATATATATGTGTTTAAAAAAAATGTAATGATACATAATGGGTCATGCCATGCAACAATGGGTTGAGAGTTGAGATGGCCACTTTTTGTAGTTTAGTCGAGACTCGAAAGGGAAGTGACTTCTAAGCCCTGTGCAAAGATTTGGATCAAGTCATGAATCATGATCAGACAACTGAAAAGAAGTTCAGCTCTGGTGAACAGAGCCAAGGCTCCAGTTTCTCCCTGTCCGTACGCTAAAATTTTACACTTCCCAATAGACCATCGCTTCATATGCACAGTAAGGATCAAATTCTTCTTGCAAATAAATCCCTGTCTATAATTAATTTCTATTCTTTTATTTTATGAGTTAATTTTGTATATATATCAAACCGGTAAAGTAATATTCAGTAATTAATGACATACTAATTATATTTACTGTATACATAGAGAATGAAAATAAATGTCAATTCGATTTTCTCAAAAAAAATTATGTAGCAAGGGGTTTATAACCTAAGTAATTAAAAACTGTTAGCCATGCATCCGAAATTCTGTGTTTGAGTCCCTCCTTCAACCCTATACCGTTTGCATAAAATATATATATAATGTGAATTTGGCTCAATTACGTTACTTTACACGTTAAAGATAGAGGTGACAACAAACTATTTTTTGGAAGCATTTCTCCGAGCATGGAATACATGTTGTTGACCTTTTGACTTGATTTACACCTTCTACATACACATACAGCCCATTAACTACTTATAGTATAATTAATTAAACAATTTATGTGTGCGCTCTCTATAGCCTCACACTTCCACTTTCCATGTCTATAATTAC